ATCACCTCATACCAACACGATGACTAGATTAAATTAGTAATTTTTCGATTCAATTCAATTTTATTTGCATAACTTGGTATTGGCTTGTAAGCGCCTTTGATTTTAATTAAATTTGAAACTACTAAAATTCTAAGTGAAATTTACATACCTCGCACACAATTCTTATTTATTTACGTATCTCACACCTAGGCATTCACATTAAATAGATAACATTTTGATGCTTCAAACATATGCATAAAAAGGAGTATCTCACCTTTAAAAAGTGTGCTATTTTTTACGTGATATTAAGATTTGAGTGCTATGTGTGTAAATATGAAAGTTTAGGAGAGAAATGTAAATGCATTAGAATTGTGTGTTATGCATGTAAATGCCCCAAATTCTAATTGTAGCTATGAAATGCAATTGCTTACTAATTTTATGTTATTCAGATTTTTTGTTGATTTTCTTGAATTTATCCAATCATTATATCATCATCGGGTTCTATTTATCATATATAATATTTGCATTCAATTGCCGTGATTTATGAATCCTAAGTTCCCCATGTCATTTACATATATAGCATCATTGTAGTTATATTAGAAAATCTAATTTAAACTACCTTGCATCAAAATGGCATCATTTATCAAAGCAAATTTTTGCATCATTTAGATTAAATGTAAGGAATATGTTACGAGGGCGCCTAGGTTAAGAGCGAATTTTGTCTTTTGTACGCCTAAGGGCAATTTTATCTTTTATTATTATTGTTGTTGGGTATATAAATAGACTTGTTATGTATAGACTTAGGTTTGTGCATGAGATTAAGTTGTGAATCTTATGATTAGGTTTTGAAAGAAATTTCCTTATCTCTCAAATTGTAGGAATTGAGAGAAATCGCCTACCTCTCGAATTGTAGGCGCTTATCTTTGTATTCTCATTGATTTGTTTGAATTATTGAGACAAGAAAATATGTTTTGACCTAATTTTTTTAGGAAAAGCGTGCCGATTTTGACGTTGAATCGTATCAAATTGGTATCATAACTAAGATTTTTGGGAGATCAACATGGAATCATTGTCGGCGGAGGAAGTAATTGTTGGCATGAGAACACGCTGAGAAGCGTCGACGAGATAGCATAGCCCATGAAAGAAACGATGACATCGCAAAATCAGAGCTTGCTGGAAAAAAGATGCGCGAAGCATCGTGATAAAAAGGAACCCGAACTTCCCATCATTCACCTTCTTCCACGTCGTGTTCGCGTACAAGCAAGTGTAAGGAGACGAAGAGATCGCGGCTTCTTCGTCGCGACTCAGTGTGCCAATAGAAACGTCAAGATATGCAGCTATCTGAGAAGTCATAATCGCGGCTTGCCGAGGTCGGATACTGGTGTCTTTCTCCTCCTCACGTTTGTAAGCTGCGAGACACAATACAATAGTGATCATATCTAGCTGGGAAGGCGAAAGAAGCGCACAGGGATGCGAAACTTCCATTCTTTCTTCCTCTCGCACTGTCTACGCTATCTAGTTGTGATCAGAGCTATATGGGAAGGCAGGCACATGGGATCGCAGCACACAGAGGCCCAAAACTCCCATATTTGAGGATCACGTCAATTTGCATGCGTACAGTTCTAGTTGGTGCTACTTGGGAAGCAAGGACAAAATTAACGGGATTGATGGGATCCGAAAACATTGATTTGAAGTACAGTTGTGATAGGAGCTAGCTGAGCAGAGACAATAAAAATTAAGGGTATAAAATTGTCTTTGAGATCAAAAAATTTTCTGAAATAGATGGCATCAAAGAAAATAGAAGATCCGGAGAAAAAATTGAAGGAAGAGATGAGTCAAATCAGATCGGGAATGGAATAGGAGTTTTTTTTCCATTGAAAGTCGAAGTGATGACGGATTTGAGAGCATGGGGCGGGAGATGATGAAAAAACTCATGGAGATAAAATCCAATACCAAGTCGATCGCTTCAGCTGCAAACCCTAACCATGGGTTGATTAGGGAATCATTGGTTGGGATAAAAGGGAAAGA